GTCTGGGGGGAGGAATTTTGGGGTCAAAAAAGGAAATTTTGGGGTCGGGAAAAACATTTGGGGTCAATAAAGGAAATTTTGGGGTCACAGAAGAAATTTTGGGGTAAACAAAGGAAATTTTGAGGGAAATAAATCAAATTTTGGGGTAAATAAAGGAGATTTTGGGGTCAAAAAAAGGAAATTTTGGGGTAACAAAAAAAATTGGGGTCAATAAAGGGAATTTTGGGGTAAATAAAGGAAATTTTGGGATCAGGAGTAAAATTTGGGGTGAATAAATGAGATTTTTGGGGTCACAAAAGGAAATTTTGGGGTCGAGGGAAAAATTTGGGGTGAATAAAGGAGATTTTGGGGTCAAAAAAGGAAATTCTGGGGCAACAGACAAAAATTGGGGTAAACAAATGAGATTTTGGGGTCAATAAATCCGATTTTGGGGTCAAAAAAGGAAAATTTGGGGTCAAAAAATCAGATTTTGGGGTCAAAAAAGGGAATTTTGGGGTCCCTGAGTTGATTTTTGGGGTCCTGGACTGAATTTTGGGATTTTTTGGGGTCCTGGAACTGAATTTTGAGGGTTTTTTTGGGGTCCCAGACTGAATTTTGGGTTTTTTCGGGTCCCAGACTGAATTTTGGGTTTTTTCGGGTCCCAGACTGAATTTTGGGGTTTTTGGGGTCCCGGGCTGAATTTTGGGGTTTTTGGGGTCCCGGGCTGAATTTTGGGATTTTTGGGGGTCCCGGAACTGAATTTTGGGATTTTTGGGGTCCCGGCCTGAATTTTGGGGTTTTTGGGGTTCCGGGCTGAATTTTGGGGTGTTTTGGGTTGAATTTTGGGGTTTTTTGGGGTCCCGGGCTGAATTTTGGGGTTTTTGGGGTCCCGGAACTGAATTTTGGGATTTTTGGGGGTCCCGGGCTGAATTTTGGGGTGTTTTGGGTTGAATTTTGGGATTTTTTTGGGGTCCCGGGCTGAATTTTGGGGTTTTTTGGGGTTCCGGGCTGAATTTTGGGGTGTTTTGGGTTGAATTTTGGGGTTTTTTGGGGGTCCCGGCCTGAATTTTGGGGTGTTTTGAGGTCCCGGAACTGAATTTTGGGGTTTTTTGGGTCCCGGAACTGAATTTTGGGGTTTTTTGGGGTCCCGGAACTGAATTTTGGGGTTTTTTGGGGGTCCCGGGCTGAATTTTGGGGTGTTTTGGGGTCCCGGAACTGAATTTTGGGGTTTTTTGGGTCCCGGAACTGAATTTTGAGATTTTTTTGGGGTCCCGGGCTGATTTTTGGGAGTCCCGGACTGAATTTTGGGGTTTTTTGGGGTCCCTCGGTTGATTTTTGGGGTTCCTGGGTTGAATTTTGGGAATTTTGGGGTCCCTGGGTTGAATTTTGGGATTTTTGGGGGTCCCGGGCTGAATTTTGGGGTGTTTTGGGTTGAATTTTGGGGTTTTTTGGGGGTCCCGGAACTGAATTTTGGGGTTTTTTGGGTCCCGGAACTGAATTTCGGGATTTTTTGGGGTCCCGGAACTGAATTTTGGGGTTTTTTGGGGGTCCCGGGCTGAATTTTGGGGTGTTTTGGGGTCCCGGACTGAATTTTGGGATTTTTTGGGGTCCCGGCCTGAATTTTGGGGTGTTTTGGGTTGAATTTTGGGGGTTTTGGGGGTCCCGGGCTGAATTTTGGGATTTTTTGGGGTGTTTTGGGTTGAATTTTGGGATTTTTTGGGGTCCCGGAACTGAATTTTGGGGTCCCGGGCTGAATTTTGGGGTGTTTTGGGTTGAATTTTGGGGTTTTTTGGGGGTCCCGGGCTGAATTTTGGGGTGTTTTGGGTTGAATTTTGGGGTTTTTGGGGTCCCGGGCTGAATTTTGGGGTTTTTTGGGGTTCCGGAACTGAATTTTGGGGTTTTTGGGGTCCCGGGCTGATTTTTGGGGTGTTTTGGGGCGGTTTTAGGGTCGCGCCATGGCCCAGCACGAAACCTACGGGAACTGGATCGGCCCCAAGCGCCTCCAGCGGCAGCCGGGTGAGCCAAAAATTCGCATTTTTTGGGGGGAAAAATCCCAAAATTCTCTTTTTTTTGGAGCTAAATCCCGAATTTGGGTTTTGGGGGAAAATCCCCCGAAATTCCCTTTTTTTAATGGGGGTAAATCCTAAATTTGGGGGACTTTTGGGAAAAAAAATCCCATTTTTTCCGGGTTAAAATCACTTTTTTTGGGGATAAATCCCAAATTTGGGGAAAATCCCCCAAAATTCTGCTTTTTTGGGGTTAAATGCCAAATTTAGGGGGTTTGGGGGGTAAAAGCCCAAATTTGGTGATTTTTAAAGGAAAATTTCCCATTTTCCAGGTTAATCCCAAATTTTTGGGGTTTTTTGGGGGGTAAATCCCAAATTTGGGGTTTTTTTGGGGAAAATTCCCCCTTTTTTCCGG